CTAGCAACGTTACGAACATTAAAATTAAAAAAAAAAAAAAAAAAAACTCTATAAAAGCACACTGTATAGTACATTATACACACGTACATATATACATATATACATGTCAGAATAAAATGAACTTTTGTCTTACTATTATAACTATCATTTATTACAAAAAAGAAAAAGCTACGAAAAATACTTTTTGTAGATTCTAATTTCCAGTGCTTAAATCTTTTGCTTCGCGTGATTCCCGAATTCTATCAAATTTTAAGCGATATTATTTCTTAAATGAACGCCCTTTGGTAAATTTGGTAACAATCTTCATTGTTCTTGTAGTCGATAATTTTTAAAAATCAAGCAATACTAATATTTCTTCCAGAGCTTCAGAACACAGAGAATATTCTTCGGTACGACTGTGTTTTTTTATAAATTTTAATATTTTTCATAGGTTTAAATTTTTTTAAATTCTAATATTTTTTTCATAGTTTTTTAAATTTTAATATTTTTAAATACACGTGTAACAGGAATGAATCTTTAGTTGAACCGCTTACGACGTGATCGATATCATCCTCTCCCTTCCTCGCTTGCGCTCTTCAATTCTCATGGCCATTCGATTTTCGGTAGTTTTCTCGTTCGACGTTTCGTCGAAATCGGACCTGTGAATCGAACCTAGTGTTGTATTTTTGCAGACGCGTTCTCCAGGAGAAGGGCCCCGACATGCCGCAATACACGTAAGCTATCGAACCTACGCAAATAAATCGTCGATTGTGTGTTGCGACGAGACCGGGACGAGCGACTCTAATTGATCATTATTGCGGACGTTTTGCAGCGGACAGAGTGATGCAGATTACCACGGAAGCAACGGCCAGGCGGACACCCATTCGTTGCATTCGTCTCATTTGTCTGTCCAGGAGGATCCATTACTCATCCGGAGCCATAAGCAGCAAACTACTCAACAAGTGAGATCCGTTTCCAGTTTTGCCAATCGTCTAATTTGCCGATTGCAACGATTTCTCCCTTTAACTCTTAACCACCGTTCTCTTCGAATATATATATCGTTGTCCTCGGTTCTGCCATTGCTGCCATTATTTTTGATATTATTCTCAAAGCTTCTGGCTATCTTCGAAATCTTCTTTTCATTTTTTTTTTTTTTTTTGAAATCCGCGACCGTAGGATGCATTTAGGATTTTCTGCGTTTACAGAAAATTGCAAAAATATATAGACAACGTCTAGAAAAACATGTATAGTAATTTCTAAATAAATAAATCTTTAAGTTTCTTTAGTGAAACTGAAAATTTTAAAATATATGAAATCTGGATTCTAATTGCCTATTAGTTATTATCTTAGACTTTTGAGAATTTCTAGATTTGTTATTATTCCTGGTTATTATCAAGAATTGTCAAATTTTTCGAAGATTTTAATATTCGTTGTCAGTGGAAAATTCTTTTAGAATTTTCAGTTCTTCTTTGGAATTTCATAATTTCCAGTTTTCTTGTTCCTAACACCAAGTTAGAAGAGTTGACGAAATTTCAAAAAAGTTTCAGTGTTTGTTATTAACTGTTTCTTATCTCTTGAGAAATCTCAGTGATTATCAGTATTCTTAGATATCTGAGAATTTCTAGATTTCTTACTTGCTTGCGTTACTGAGAGAATTATAAAAGTTTTCGAAGATTTCAGTGTTTATTATTAGTATTTTCAGTAGCTGTGGAGTCTCTGAGAATATTCAGTTCTCTTTGAAATCTTAGCGATTCTTATATACTCAGTATAAGAATTTTTAGTTTTTTTTCCATTGTTAATAAGATCATTGAAAATTTCTCGTTTCATTCTCGAAACGTTCTCTTTTAATATTTTTAATATTTCTTCTTCTAAAGTTTCTTTTAGAATTAGAATTTCAGTGGTTTTAAAATCTTAGCGACTGTTAATATCTCTGACAATTCACAACTTTTTGAACTGTACTGAGAATTCTCAAAATTTGCAATTTTACACATTTAATAAGAAATTAATAACAAGTTAAATTATCACTATAATTATTTAATACGAAATTAATGCTCAAGATTTTCTTAATATTTTCAATATTCTTTAAAATATTAGAGATCATTGCTAGTATTTCTGAAAAAATTCACGATATCTTTTTGTTTCCAGTATTATTTCCAGTATTTTCAAATTTTACAATATAAAATTAGAGCATTCTTAGGTATCAATATTTCATTTTGAAGATTTCAGCGATCGTTCGTAGGATTCATAAAATTTTCTAAATTTCCAATGTTCTTATTAATCTCGAGTATTTTAAATGCTCTCAGCGTTGCATTTATTAACCAGCTTTATTGATTATTCTTTCAGGACTTTCTCTTCTAACATTTTCACAACATCAGAAATGCATATTTTAAAATTTCCACCTTTTATCGTCAAAACACCTTTCACCATTCAATCGACAACATTAATTCTTCAACCCGTCCAATGTCCTCGGATTCTCACAATGAGTTCTCTTGCAAGATTTCAATATTCACTCCGAAATGCTTTTGCCATTTCAAATTCACCGGCTCAACGTTCCCAGGATACTCAGTCCAAATCCTAACGCCAACCAACTACCCTCTAAATTGCTTTCAGAATCTCTTAACTCTCTTCGTATCTTCGATATCACGTTCAACATCCCCTCAACGTTCCTCTCTGTCTATCATTCACCTCCCTTCTCCTGTTATCGTTATTTCTTGATGACTCGTTGACATTTTCTCAGGTGACAAACGTGTCGAAGGTGGTCCGCGAGGTATCGCACATGGAGCCGGATCCAGGCGCGGTGAGCTACATGTCAGTGCCATTGATGTCCCAGGACTATCAGCACGCGGACCGTCGATACCCGGCTGACTCGTACATGGTCGGTTTCGAGCATTACGAGCCGTACCTCGGCTATCCGCCGCAGCCGGGGTATCCAGGGCCCCACGGTATCTACATGCCGCGCTCGCATTCTCCTCACAGTCCTCATAGTCCTTCGGAACACAGTCGTGCCTCGCCACCGCACGGTAAGCCGCCAATTGGAGTTAGTTTTCAGCATTCTTCATTTATCGTGATCGTCATCAGTTGTTATGTATTTTTGGAATTATTTGGAAAATCGCGACTAAATTCTCTGCAGTTTTTTCATTTCAGTTTCAACATTGTAATCTTTTCTTAGTTTTCAAGTATATCTGAGTAGGACAATGTGACTGACCTAAAAATTTATGTATACTTTGGAGGGTAAAAAGAAACTATATGTTTGATTGACGTGAGCTCTCGTGGTTTATTTTTAACACATTATGAACTATAATGAGCAATTATAGCTAGCATCTTTTTACATAACTTTTTTTTTTACATTGCCCATCGGTGTGCATGATTCCAGCCAAACAGGATTGGCTGCAACAAAAAGGCAAGGAATGTGTTCAAAAGTAAACAATATTCTCTAGGGATCGACGATCCAACATTTTCATTTCTGTGAAAATTATGAAAGTAGCAGCTATTTGTTTTTGATGTATCGAAATTGTGCCAAAAGTTTCTACGTTTTTTGTTGATATTTCTCGAAATTGTTAAAAATTGAAAAGTATTCGATCGTCAATCTCTAGTAAGTACGCTAAGATACGTACCAAGTTTCACAGTAATCGATTGGTTAGATTCCGAGATATTTTGCACACCGTTTCTAAAAACCTAGTTTTCGAAAAAAAAAAAAAAAAAAAACGCGTTTAAAGTTTCAGAACGTCATTTTTCATATGTATCCTTTACTTACTTTTTTTACTTATATGTATATCACGGCTCACAGTTCTTACAATTCACAGCTAAATTAAATCCAAGTCCTCTAATATTCGATTCACCAAAAGTAACATTTGAATCACACGATTGACACTTTTTAACATACTGCTTAAAGTTACACTTTGTAATACTGCTTAAAGTAAATAGTGATGCAAATTCAATTATTATTGTATCCGCGGATTTATTATTACACTCCAAAATAAGTCGTTTTAAAGGCTAAGACATTAAACTACTATTTAAAACGAAAGAAATCGATTTTTTGAAAATTTCAAACTGTCCGGACCCCGCGAGTGAAACAAAATAGACGAAGCAGATAATAAATTCATTGCATCTCAGTAATTTCTATCCAGTGATATCGTCGTATCGGCGAGTTCAAAGAGAAAGCGACGAATTATCGTATTACGGTATTTGGTCACTCGTTATGGTCCGCAATCAGCTGCCAGCGCAAGTGGTGATTAAGCGCCAGCAGTTCAGCGATTTGTTTTACGATTAACGTCTATTCTTTTCTGTTTCCCTTGAAGAATACCTGCGCAAGGCGGCACCGTACGTGGAGGGCGGTTACAACGACATCGATCCAGGTTTGAATCCCGCGTTGCAAGATCATTATCGCATTACTCCTAGTCCTGGTGGTCCCGGAGATCAATATGGTACGTTCGGTATCGAAACGGGCGGGGGACACGCGCGTTTCTTTCTGCCCTCCCGCTTGGATTTCTCTCACCTGTTCACCCGTTTCATCCTGTGGGAATATATTCTTTTTTTTTTTTTTTTTCTTTCTGTCTTTCGAAAACGGAACGAGCGTTGCGCTTCGGCGTTGACCCAGACAGCTCTATAATGAGATATTCAGCTATCGTGTCGCAGCGGACCGCGGCTATTTGTCTGGTCGTGCGCGAGGCACAGCATAATTCACTTTAATTATCTCCATGGCTGACATTCGTTGTTATTTTGTGTTCTCTCTAGATCAAATCAGCAACTCTTGGAATATGGATGACTCTGGCGAACCCTCTCAGCATCCTCATGGTAGGGTCACATCAATAATTTATTTAACACATTCTCTCTTTCTCAGTCTTTCATTCCGTCGACTTTCTCTTCTCTCTTCTCTCTTCTTCTTTTCTTTTTTTTCTTCTCTTTCACCCTCGTTAAGCTTCATCTGACCGCGTTTATCGTCATCTGGTCTCTCCACCGTCGCGAGTCCATATTCCACTGTTTCGAGCTACGTAACGCTACTACGCGCAGATAATGCGAGTGAATTATGCGTTTCAACTATACGACGAGTATGCAGTAGTATCGCGTTAACTAGCCTGGATTTCGCCTCGTTAATTGGCCATCGATATCCCCACCAGTCTCGTGAACTTTGCAAAATATGCAGGGTGATTCTTAACCCTTTTGCCTTAAAGATTTTCTTTTCGATCGTAGTGCTGAATTTCGCACTCGCTCGGAAATACTAGGTACTTCTCGAACCCATTTTGAATCCTTTGTTGCATTTATCGTTATATGTCTCAATTGATTTTGACAATAGATTTTAAATTTCACTACAAAAATTTTAATTTCATTACTATTATGTATATTAAATTTATCGAAAATTAAATTATGGTGATTTTAATTTATGCTTAATTAATTAATATGTAAATGTCTAGTATGGATCTTTTTAGTATTTATATTTAATTCTGTTATAAATAATTTATAATGTAAATTAATTTAAATATACATACATGTTATATATTATAAATTTTGTTAAATTATTATTGTTACAATTTTATTCAACTATAAAATTTTTTATATTAATATTTATAAATTTTTACTCGACGATTTCAATTAAGAATCTTATTTTAATATTTAATTAAATTGTAAATTATAATAATAATTAATGTAATAAATATTATTTTATATTTATTATATCATATATAAAATTAGGGTTTAATGGCTTGAGTTTTGTTTAACGTATATCAATGAATATTTTTTATAAACATTAAATAAGGTTCAAGTGATGTTCTCACACATTCGAGATTTTCTTTAATTATTCGTAACTCGAAAAGTAAGGTATGTAGGATGCAGATTCACATTTTTTTACTTATTTTATATTGTGTAGATTCATCACACCAAAGTAAATACATTTAAGAATCACCCTGTACAAATATACCAGGTATTCGTATTTTATTCGTACTTCAGAATTTCTTACAAATACATTCTACAAAGAGGAAAGATGGGAACTCACGAATCAAATTTGCGTATTTCATTTACTGCTAGAAAGCCAGAATTCTTTGATCATCACTAACGTATTCTCTTAACATTTTACGGTCTGTTAATGACATGATGCCGTTAGCCATTTGGTAGGCCACTTGATTGCCACTGTTTGAGAAAGTAAAGCGCACGTGAAAAAAAAAATTAAAATTTCCAATGTTAATGGGAAACAATATACATTTTACAATAACAAACGTTTAAGTAGCTTCTCAGATGTCACGATAGATTTTACAAAATCAAAATTATAAAACATCTTTTTTAAATTAATAATTTTTGGCTTGATCAGTGCATCAAAAAATACGTGATTCTACTTTCCAAAATCATTACTGCCATTATTCTCTGTTTTGAATAACTTTAGTTAACGAAAATATTCACGGCACTAATTTTCATTAGAGCTCTTACATAACAAGAAATGTATTGTACCGTCAATGAATTGGAACAAATGAACAATTCAGCGTAGATCACAGACCGCAAAGTCTCTCTTATTTCATTTTATTTTATACATTTAAGCAGAACAGAACAGAACGCTAAAATAGAACTCTTATTTAATTATGGAAACTGTACAACATACAAAATTTACTTCACTCAATTTTACAATACCACCCTCAATAACCTTGTAACCAGTTAACGAAGTACAACGTCAGAGCCAATTCACTTCAAAAAGTTCTCTCTCTGTCTCTCTCTTTCTCTCTCTATCATTAAATTATAATCCATCCTCCTTGGGAATCCCCTTTCTTCCAGATGAGAACAAAGTGGCCTACGGTTACGTGTCTCCGTCCCCCTACGGACCTGTTGGATACGGCCCTGGCGTTGGGGTAGGTCCAGTGGCAGTTCCTAGCGACGTACCCGGTTACGACGAAGGCCATCCGGTCCAGCTCCCCTCCGGTGTACCTCCGGGAATGTTCGACGACGAGGTTCATCTTCAACGGTTACAATCCCGGCATCCGGTGGTGCCCGGCATGGCCAGCCCGCTGGACGACGATCAGAAATCCATGAGATGGCGGGATCCGAATCTGTCGGAGGTGATCGGCTTCCTCAGCAATCCGAACAACATCATCAAGGCGAACGCTGCCGCGTATCTGCAACATCTCTGCTACATGGACGACCCGAACAAGCAGAAGACGCGAAGCCTCGGCGGAATACCGCCTCTAGTTCAATTGTTGGATCACGACAACCCGGACGTGTACAGGAACGCCTGTGGCGCGTTGCGGAACTTGTCTTACGGCAGGCAGAACGACGAGAACAAGAGGGCCATCAAGAACGCCGGCGGTGTACCGGCCTTGATCAATTTGTTACGTAGGACGTCTGACGCGGACGTTAAGGAACTGGTGACGGGGGTTCTCTGGAATTTATCCTCGTGCGAGGTGGGTACACGCACGTGTGTCGCCCGTTCGATTGGAATTTTAAAATTTCCATGAATATCTTTACATTTCAATGTTTTTCAACGTAATCGATTGCGAGCCGGGTAAAAGGCAGGCACTGAGCATATCAGTTCGATTCGCTTTGACTCAAGAGTTGATAAGAATTATCGTTTTCGTTAATGGAACGTGACCGTTCGCGATGAGTTTACAAAATTATTTTCTGAATGTTTTATAACTGGGCGAAATCATATTTTTGAGAATGTAATTGAAAAAGTCGGGAATTGTTTTACATACTGAGCATTATAAAGGGGCACTATAATGTGTTTTGAATATTTTACAAATGCATAAAAATCTACAGCTTATTTATGACAAATAATTGTTTGTCTGCCATTACTTTAAACTCTTTATTGAATTATTGGAAATTAAATTTATATAACAGATTAAAAGATTAATTAATGAGAAGATAAATAGTTAAATTTGCAAATTTTTTAATTAAAGTAGTAAATCTATTCTCAGGCGTAGATCGTGATTTTATACATTTTGTAAGAAAGCTGTGTCAAATTGATACATAAAGAACGAGTGTTAATTAATTTTCATTATTAGTTTTTATCACAATGCAAAATAACAAATGAATTTAATATAAATGACCATAATCATTTATAACCCAACTATGTATTTGAAGGTCAATATAATACAAAAATGAAGACATAATTATTTTTAATATTAATTGAGCTACTTAGACGTCAAAGTAGAAGCCTAAATTCCATTTAGTGAAAACTTTTTAAGTTTATTTCCAAAGTACATTTATTTCTTAGTTTTTCATCGTAGATTAATTTTTCAAAGACCAAACTGTTCATCTGAAGAAGTAGATCAGTTTAGTTTTTGTATTATCATAACTTTGTAAATTATACTAGACTTATTAAACTTGTTAAAATGATGGATTTCAATCCATTTATAAATGTGAATGTGTATTTATCTGATTTATTTGATAAAAATGAAAAAAAGAAAGTAAGGTGGAATAATTGTCGCTATACAGAATGAACATAAGAATACCACGTTTTTCATACCATAGATTTTATAAAATTAAAATATCTTCTATACTTCTAAACTTAAATTATAAAATATTTTCTAAAACTAGTTGTTTAACGTACATGGATTGATACTTTTTTTTTTTTTACAGAGACTGTAGAACTACATTAACTGATACATTAAAAAAATATATAATTTCATTTAAAAAAACAAAGTTCTCCGCGTTCACGTAAGAAAACCCACGTCAGATACCTCCTGAAATTATTTAACTTTTGTCTGATATTAGTATATACAACATAATTTGTTAGTATATAAAATCTGCTAATAAAGCTTAAAAATTGTAAAATCCTGGCACAGTCTGTACAATATATTTAAAAATATATCAAGGATTGATTACTCTATCAGTTAAATACTAACCATGATTCGTATTTACATTTATCATTCTTTCAGGACCTCAAAAAATCAATCATTGACGACGGCGTAACAATGGTGGTTAACAACATAATCATCCCACATAGTGGCTGGGACCCAAGCTCCTCCAGTGGCGAGACCTGCTGGTCGACCGTGTTCAGAAACGCGTCTGGCGTTTTGAGAAACGTCTCCAGCGCTGGCGAGTACGCGAGGAAGAAATTACGCGAGTGCGAAGGTCTGGTTGACGCTCTTCTCTACGTAGTACGGTCCGCCATCGAGAAGTCGAACATCGGGAACAAGATCGTAGAAAATTGCGTGTGCATCCTGCGGAACCTGAGTTATCGGTGTCAGGAAGTGGAGGACCCAAACTACGACAAACACCCGATTCAATCGACCGTACAGAACAGGGTGGCGGCTCCGGCTAAAGGTGAGGGTTTGTCCATGTCTTCCGTGAGGACATCTTTGCATTTCGAGAATGAGACGTGTGTACCCTTTGCCCGTGCCATGGTAAACACACGGATTCCCTCAGTGGGCATGTGGCGACACGCATGCAGCCGAATTGTGTGTGCGCTAATGATAAGCGGATCGTTTTTTCCCCTTGGGAAATTGATAAGATAAGAAGAGGCAGGTTTGCACTTTTGGTTTGCCTCGGTGCGACGAGAGAAAAAGAACGGCTAGCGGGTGTAATTTCGATTCGTATTTTATGTATGCGCGGTACTGCAGCGGCCATTGTGGTACAGTGTGTTGCAAAAGCGAGACAATGGAAAATTTAAGATTTTAACTCTAGAATAACTGATGGAAAATATCATATTTTTATTTCGAAGAATTTCATATAATTATTTATTGATGTCTTAATAACTAATGAACTGAAGTTATAATATACAGGGTAGATTACTACCTCAAATATCTTCTTTGTTTCTAAAGATATAAAAGAACTTTTTTAATGAAAGTTATTAAGTATAGAGGAGACCGTAATGTGAGAGTAATAATTTTTTTGTAGATGGAGGAGCTTTAAAAATTTCAAGTTCGCATTTTCAAATGAAATCGTATACTTTTTGATCCATTAATGGATGAAGTTAAACTTTATTTATAAGCATTAAACTATGTATGTCGAATAATTATTAGTTTAGAAGAGTGTAGCCCTTTGTACTCAATAATTTTCGTTGCAAAGTTTTTTTAAAATAGAGATATTTGATAGTAATAATTACAGATCTACCTTGTATAATATATTTAAAGTGTCTGTATTTAAAAGTTATCTTCTAACCGAAAATATAATAATCAATCTTTACATAACAGCTTTAAGAATTAATACTCACGGAATATTCTATATTGCTTATTTAATAATTTATCAGTAATTTGTAAGGCATTATATATTATCTTGAAAGTTATTACATGCTTTTTGTAAACACAATTTTAATGATTTTTTTTTTAATCAACTGAAGGGTAAGTTGACAATAAAATTTACGATTCAATTGATAACTGATAAATTGCAAATGTAGAATTCACTAATTACTCTGTGACTTGGATAGAATTTTAAACATTCGCGTTTTATTGCAAGAATCAAACCCATTTATAAAATTCTCTTTATCAAGCACTGAGACTTAACATTGTCTTGCTTTTGTATCTACGGGGTAGGCTAAATTAATACTGTACAATGAAAATTAGTTCTTTGAAGGTAGGCTCGATAGTTGTAGCAATAGCTCCACGCGGAATTGGCCGAGTTGTAACAAGAGGGGAAGAAAAAAAAAAAAAAAAAATGAAGCATTTGAAAACGTACATCCGCTTGGCAACACAGTATTGTACAGTAAAAACCAGTCGCATATTAATGATATATTGCACGCTTCAGATTCTATAGAATGTGAAACGTGCAAGGTAGTAATTAGGAGTCGTAGTTGGTCCCGTATACTTTCTTCAGTCTATGAAAATTATATATTCCACATCTATGTACACTGAACATTCGTTGTAATGCTTACGTCTCTGTTGATATACCGCTTACACGTTTGATTAAACATAATTGGGTGTGTTCGTGATGATGATGCAACGATATCTTTGCGAGACGATGATACCCTAATTAGCGATAGCACATATTATCAGTCGATTAGTACGTACCTATCTGCAACTACACTGATTTTTGTGTTCCCTTCAGTGTTATGATTTCTCACTTGTTTCTCTTGATTCTTGTACCGCAAATTCTTTTTTGACTGCCGTACGAGACCAAAACGCTACAAGAGACAAGAAGCAAAAAAGAAAAAGAGATAAAAGAAAAGAAAAACAAAAAACAACAGTTTTACATCCTTCCTAGTTTAGCATGGATTAAAGATGTGTTTCAATCTTTTTAGCATACAGTTTATGTCAAGGTAAGACATTCTTGTACTTTCGTCGCTATTTAATTTTTGTTTCTTTATATTAATTCCTTTTCTCTACATTTCTTCTTTTTCTTTTTTTTTTTTTTCTTTCATGGGACGAATCCAAATAGTCAGTGCATGTCACGCTTCTCGAAGGTTACTCTGCAGTTGTTTTTACACGACGATTTTTTTTTTTATCGTGAATTAACTGACAACCACATGAAAAATAAGTGACCAGCAAACAAGTCATGTGATCGACGCAATCATTGTTCCAATATTGATCTCACGTCGTGGTGCTCTAATGAACAGATATTTTAATCGACAAAGACAATCTCGCTGTTACTAATAACAGTATAAAAATGCATTCAAATGTATGTAAATCAAAGGGTATCTCAAATATCTTACGTAGAATATTTATTACAAATAGACAAATTTCCTGTTTATTTCTTCAATTCATTTCTTCAGTTTATTTTTTATTTCATTCATAAAAATACAAAAACTAGTAGTCTATTCATTACGTCGCATAATACCTGTAAATACATTAATTACACAATTCCTGTAAATGGACAACACTAACGATACCATGAGGAGAGAATACACATGCTTATAAAATATTAAATATTTAAAAATATATATAGATTGCCTCTTTTTATACATTTATAGAAGATTTAAACAATACAAATATGTAGTATACAAAAATATGTAAAATATCCAAAGTAGTTACATTTAATATGTAAAATAATTTCTAAGTAATCTACTTAGAAGTTTAGATATACTTGGGTTTCATTTTTTTAAAAATTATCATTATAAAAATATACAATTGCATAAACGTCCGCAGTCTAAACATATTTATAAATATTTAATATTTATACATATAAATATTTTATGATACAGACATATATAAAATGTTAGAGTACCTTGAAGCGTTACGATTAATCATTCCTATACAGTTCTAATTAATTTCATCGGCAATCCTTGTATGTCAAGCCTTAATAGTGCATCTCCTTTCGTGCATCTTGCATATGCCTGTTTTTATGATTGGCTAGTTGCAATTGCTCTGTCGACAAGTTGTTTGCGATGTTCCAAGCATTGGCGTAGTTTTTTTGATAGAAATAATGCAGATAAACTGAACAAACAATTCACACAAATTTCATTACATTAATTATTTTACTTAATCCCTTGAGTGTTTAGCATGTACTAGAATATTGTACAATGAAATAATTGATTAATCAATTAATCAATGAAATAATCAATTATTTTATTGTACAATAAAATAATTGATTTTCAAAGGGGATAACATATTATAATATGTTGAGTAGATATATCAAAAGATATATGTTTAAAGCTGAATTTGTTTAGTACCGAACTTTTAGACTTTTGTTTAATTTTAAGCACTCAAAGGATTAATCCTGCTGTGATCCTCGAATTTTTTATATTTCAATCTCGTGACTTTTTATTATATTTTTGCAATTTTTGCTTTGAATTTTTAACTTGGAAAAAGATTTTTAATGTTTTTAAAAAATTGTTGGTATAGGATCGAAAAACAAGAAATCGCATTTTTCAACAATTATTCTGCCCCATTTTTTATTTTAACTCTTCGTGGTCCATAATAGTATTTAAAGTATCGACCAGCAATCGAACGATTTTGCATTGCATATTCATAAAAACATAAAAAGAGATAAAATTTCCTCTAGTCAATAGATAAACCCTTTTGGGATTTAAATTGCCCCTGTCAATTTGTTCGAATAATAATTTAAATTTATTTCATTGGTTTTTTTTTATTACAGAGATTGGTATGTATAAAATAATTTAACCATAATGCAGAGGAATATCGAATATTTATTTGTTGCATTTAAATGTATAGTAGCAGCCATAAAATTTCAGATATACTATAAATTTCAAGCATGAAACTTCTACTTTCACAATCTTGGGTTTTTCATAAAAATGTTTTTATATTATCTAATAAATGGGAAAGTAAAGATACTGGTATTCTCGAAAATGCTTTAAATTGAATGTTTGAAAATTCAGAAAGCTTAAAGATACATTCTCCATTTTTTACCTAGGTAATGCAAAAACTAATTAAAACAGACTCTACTCCAAGAATTTTCGAATTTAAAAACTGATAATTCGTGTAAATTTGAAGTTTGCTGGTAGGAAAGATATGTTGATTCGTGCAAAAATAATTAAAGCACATGATATTTCAAAGCAGTTACACGATCAAAATTATATTTGAAGAACATTTCATATGCACCATTCTAATAGAATAAAATCAATGTTTTATCAGTTGTATAAAACCGTAAAATATTTTATATGGAAAAGAAATTTAAGTAATTAAAAGAAAAGGAGTTATTCTATTGAAAATGGCACAGAGGATACAGCAGGATCAAATCTAACATTTCAATCCTTATTAAAGAACAATGAAATCTCTATTTTAACCTTCTTTCTTTTTCTTTCTAATTTTTATTAACTTTCATCCGTTCCTTGTGTTAATTTGACAACATTTTTCTTACAAAATGATAAATCATTTTGCAGCAGACACTGATACAGAGGCGAGATTCTGTGACATTTATTTTTTTGACACATAGCACATATTTTTAACATTTTCCACAACAAAAATATTTGTTTTCATAATTCTTTGACAAACAATACATTGTCCTTGTTACAACAAAATTCTTGTAGAAAACACTGTTGCAAACATCAAATTTTCAGTCATTATTATATTCATAATAAAATATTTGTAAATTTAAATAAATAGTAACTTTCTTCTTTCTCCTGAAAAATTTGATGGTTTGACACTTGGTGTTTTCTACAAGAATTCTTTATTACAATCAGTCTATCACTTATACAATCAGTCTACCACTTTTTCGAAGATACGTAGATATGTAGTTTTAACGAGTGAAAATCCAAAACAAATGATCATAACGTCAGACAAAACTAGAGAACGGTAAAAGTAGAATTTCCTGTGAATCTTAAATATTAAATATAAAAGTTTACAGTTAAACTTACAAATTCTTTTATTAACTATCGTGTTAATTCGACATCACCGGACGAATTAAATTCAAATTTAACGAGGGACGGATGGGCGTTAAACTGCATGTAATTTTCCAATCGTTCATGTCCAATCGGCGCGTTCTTAAATCTCAATGTTTCCAAAGTTGAAAGGCTCATTTACCATCGTTAGGCAACACGCGAACTCGTGCGGCTCGTGCGATGTTCACTAGACCGATTAATCACGATCCACTTCTGTAATTAATGCCAGTTGCAAATCGCTGTGTCTTAGGTGAAAACTTGGGTTGCTTTGGCGGAAGCAAGAAGAAGAAGGATGGCCAACCGGTGCAAAAGGAAACGACCGCGTCGCGCACCACCACCAGCCCAAGAACGGAACCTGTCAGAGGCATGGAGCTACTCTGGCAACCGGAAGTGGTCCAGTCTTATTTGAAACTGCTGCAGACATGCTCGAACCCGGAGACTCTCGAGGCAGCGGCCGGAGCGCTTCAGAACCTCGCAGCCTGCTACTGGCAACCGAGTATTGAGATTCGCGCGGCCGTTAGGAAGGAGAAGGGACTTCCTATTTTGGTTGAGCTGCTGCGGATGGAGGTACAGCCATTTTCCTGGAGTTCGAATATAAACCTGGTAGAATTTCTGTATATAACAAAGTGATAGATGGTGGATATAAAGATATAACAATGTGATAGATGGTGGATTGTAAGTAAGCGGGGAAGATAGAGCAAGTAAGGATAGAAATTTCAAGTGATAGATTCGAATGGAGGAATGTTTGAAATATTTGAATTATTTTATTTTACGTTTAGGGTTTTGTATTAAATTTGATGATTAATAAGCAAAAAGCGAAGAGCAGAAGTTTTAAATAACGCTGTGATAGACTTTAATGAAAAGATGTGGAAAACATTTCATGGGTATAATTGGTAGAGATATTTAAATTATTTTAATGGGTATATTTGGTGAAACGTGTAAATAAGAAGTCATAGAATTGTGAATAAGTAAGAAAACAAATAAAAGATAGAAATTTTAAATGAAGTTGTAATAGACTCAAATGAAGGGATGTTTAAAATATTTAAATTACTTTAACATTAAATATTTATCTTCCTAAGTTTATGTGGTATTGAAGTTATACGTTTTAAGATTAACAAGCAAAAAGTGGAAGATAGATGTTTTAAATGAGATAGACTTAAATCTGGGAAAATAAGGGGATGAAGATAAATTATTTTAGTGAATATATTTAGTAGAAATATTTAAATATATTTGATGAAATTCTTTTGAAATAAAAATATAGTATAGTGATAGATAAATAGGATGTAGGGTAGAAATTTTAAATAAGGTTCTGGTAGATTTGAATGAGAGAATATAAAAAAATAGAAAACTAGGAGAGTAAAAGTACTTAATCTCTGCAAATAAAAGATGAAGGTTAAAATTTTTAATACTACTGGACGTAAAAAAGAAATCCAAATTATTTTAATATTAGACATTCATATTTTTAAACTTCTATTGAAGTTATATTTTCTAAGAGTAACACTAGAACTACCAAAGTGGTTAAAATGATCAGTTAGAATTTTTACAGTTTTATAACAGATTTATAACAGTATGATTTTTCCTAAAATATATAAATACAAGTTTATTTGTGTATTACATTGAAATTATTTAATATATTGTTATTAATTATTATGTAATATACTTTTCTTCATAGGAGTGATTAAATGGATGTTGAATAATCGAACAATTTCAAAAATATATACTTTAATTTCATGAAAATTTGACAATAAAAGCTTTTACAAAATGTTCTTCTTATCATCTTTTTTAGGTGGACCGCGTCGTCTGTGCGGTGGCCACGGCTCTCAGAAACCTCGCCATAGATCAGCGTAACAAGGAACTGATTGGAAAGTACGCGATGCGCGATCTCATTCAAAAGTTACCTTCAGGGAATAACCAGCATGATCAGGGAACCAGTGATGACACAATCGCCGCTGTTCTTGCCACTTTGAACGAGGTGATCAAGAAAAACGCCGAGTTCTCACGATCTCTATTAGACGCTGGCGGTGTCGACAGACTGATGAACATCACCAGGCAACGCCAGAAATACACGCCTCGTGTTCTTAAATTTGCAGGCAAGAATCGATAAAAATTCTCCTTGTTAAACTCGTGTATAATTTTCTATAAACACTTGTATCGTAAATTTCAAGAGCACCGGGAAAGATGACAGGATTTCTGTTTTAAGAGACTGAACGTTGATTAATTTGCAGGACAAGTCTTGTTCACGATGTGGCAGCACCAAGAGCTGAGAGATGTTTACAAGAAGCACGGCTGGAAAGAACAAGATTTCGTTACAAAAACAGTGGCAGCGCGGAATTCAGGGCCTAATTCACCGAATAATGCCAATAGGTAACCGCTCGTTAATCGACAGCCAACAGTCTTTGCATTAAATTATCTATCATTTTCTAATTAATCGTTTCTTTCTCTTAACGTCAGTCAAGCTTTCATTTGCGTTGTTTCTGTTCCTGGACTCTGTGCGTTTAACTTTTTTCGTATATGCTTTTCCTGTTCAATTCTACTCCGTTAGATAATTTCCGTTGAGCAGAGTCCACAATTTGACAATATTCCTGAACATTTCGGTCCTACGTTGAATATAGCTATGATTGTAGCACACTGAACCGACCGATGGCAAGCCAAGGGAGCACCAGATACGAGGACAGAACGATTCAGAGAGCGAACATGAATTCGAATAACGTCGGTCGACCCACTATATATCAGCCTGTAAGTAACAACAACTAATGGTACTGTGCGACGAACAGTTTTGGCCCCACCGGCGTTTACACCAAGCGGTCGTCATCTTCACGATTAAAATCGAAAGTGTAATAGGGAAGAAACATGAAACGGACGTTGGTCCTGCTCGGAGCAATTTTTTTGCGACATTTTATTCCACTGTCACGTACGTTCGATTCATAGTTTGCACAGTTTTTTAGTTTGCAAGTGATTGGAGCAAACGAGCCAAGAAAAAAAAGTAAAGAAAAGAAACGGGAAACACGTCCAAGGAGAATTTTAAGAATGAACGATGAGCTTTGCAAGTTGAAAGTACAGATTGAGACGTAACGATCCAGTATATCACGACGTGATTCCTTTCGAATCGAGTCTTGCTCTCGTCGATTAGCTACTCGCCGCTGCGTTTCACGGTTCAATAGAAAGAGCAATAGATTTGACTCTGTTAGTTTTTGTTTCGAAAAGCCTGATCGGGCGAAGTGGCAAGAGTTTACTCCACTGTATGCAGATCAATTTCATTGTTTTCTACGTTTTTTGTTATCTGTTTTTTAATTATAATTATATATACATACGCATGTAATAGTTGCGAGAAAGACGAGAAAGGCGTTTTCGTGTACGAAATGTTAGAACACACTTATTGTTAGGCAGAAGGATAAAGTAGTTGATCACAGAACGATTATTTATATGATATTTATCCATTTGCACGAAAAGATCGACAGGAGGAAAGTTAAAAGAAAAAAAAAAAAAAAAAAAAAAAAAAAAAAAAAAAAAAAAAAAAAAAAAAAAAAAAAAAAAAAAAAAAAAAAAAA